TTATATATATATATATATATATATGTTTTTAGTTTTTGGAGAAAAAAGGGGTAGGGTGGACAGGGGGAACGACAGTCTCATGCTACACGAAGTTGTAAAAATGCTCTAGGCCAACTAGGATTCAAACCCCAATCACTCACGACACAGTCCATCGCTCACAACACAGTCCAGTAAAATGCTAGGATTAGGATATAATAATAATATCTCCGAGAAGGGAAGAGTGGGGAGTTTTGAGTGAAGAGAAGCACATCCACAAAGTTGTACTTGTCATAATATTACTACAGTGCAGAAAGTCTAAGTTTTAGTAAGTGTTTTACCTCACTTGCAACACAATTAGGTCATATATAAGAAAAGCCGAAGATTAGAGGTGTTACAAGAAAGTAACAAACACAAAAAAAGAAGGAGGAGAGATAAAGACGATAGATGTTTGACAGCTCAACACACAGGAACCTAAACCCATGACTTTGGACTCTAATGATAATAACAGTAGATCTAGCTATTACTATTTGTATTATAATAATAAAACAACAAATAATAAACAAAAAGCAGCAGGAGAGGGAGAAAGCAATAATAATAACAACAACAACAATAATAACAATAATAATTTTTAAAATAATAATAATAATACAAACAAAAGTAATGATGATGATGACGACGATGGTGATGATAACGATTATGATATGATGATGATGATGATGATAATAATAATATTCAAACAATCAAAATGAGAATAATACCAATAACAATAACGAATATATTGACAAAATGCAATAATCCTCACCGCCACTTCAATCATCATCATCATCATCATCACCATCATACAAAACGAAAAATAGAAAGAAAAAAAAAGTCAAAACCAACGCCATCTTCCAATCTATAGGCTTACCCTACCTACATACCTATCCACATCCACTCCCACATTCACTGATCTACCTACCTACCCACTCCCATACCCATGACCCTCTTAGTCTTACCTACCTACCTAGGCCTACCTACCTAACTATCACTATCACTGATCACCTACACTCACTCACCTACCTATTCACCCTCTACCACACACCCTCTTACCTACCTACCTATATCCACTACCACAGATCTTGACTAGTTCAGCAGAATAATATTATGATTCCATCGTATAGGTCAACCAGAACATTCACTCTTTAGTTTTAGTTTTAATAAGTGTTTTACGGCACTTGCAACACAATAATGTCATATATGTGCCGAAGATTAGAGGTTTTACAAGAGAGTAACAAACACAAAAAAAGAGGAGGGGAGATAGAGACGATAGATTTTTTATAGGAAAGAAGGAGCAAACCACACCAGAGCACCTGCCAACCACCCACGTGAACAGTCTCAAAATGAGAGAGAAAGACGCAATCAAGCAAGGAAGGCATGCTAATAATTAATAATAGTAATACATGTATTCAACACCTGAGTTAATACACAATATATTGCAAACACGGTGGACGAAACACATCAATGCTTTCCCTCTTGTTTTCTATTTTATAATAAGCGTCACACACACGCCATTTGCAACACTGATCATCATAATTACATGTATAAGTTGTGCTGAAGATTGGAGTAGAGGTGTTAAAAGAGAGTAATAAACACAAAAAAGAAGATTAAAGGTGTTACATGAGAGCAACACACACAAAAAAGAAGATTAAAGGTGTTACACATGAGAGTAACACACACAAAAAAAGGAAGAGGCGAGATAAGGACAATAGATGTTTGTTGATAGGAAGAAAGAAGGAGTAAACCACACCAGAGCACCCGCCAACCACCCGAGCTTTCCCTCTGCACTGACACAGCAACCAGTGTTTCTTGGTACATGTATGCCTACACGTTGTCCCAAATACATGTATTAGCTACAAGTAAATGTCATTACAATGTAGCCTACACGTTGTCCCAAATACATGTATTAGCTACAAGTAAATGTCATTACAATGTAGCCTACACGTTGTCCCAAATACATGTATTAGCTACAAGTAAATGTCA